CCATGCCACCATCTCCTACACTGAACACTCCACTCCCAGGTCGTGGATTTTTGCAGTCTTTAGCAATATGCCCCGCAGCACCACATGCGGTACAAATAATATTTGCAGTAACATTTGGAGCATCCGGACATTCCCATCTGAAAATTATTTCGAGAAAATATATGAGCAAGGTATGAACCAGTGATGGCTATCAGAGTAAACTTACTAGAAATTCTGGGAAATCAATAAAATCATACGTCTGAAGAGTTTGGAAATCTCCTAAAACACAAATTTGTACTGAATACTCACGTTTTATGCTCATCAGAGCCACAGTTGCTACAACGGGCACCACTTGCCAAATCCTCAGGTCGCAGAGTGCCATTCAAAAGTGCAAGCTCTCTCAGCTGCAGCTTACGCAATTCATTTTGACCATCAGGTATCATCAGTGCTTCATTTATAATTGATGTTATCTGGAAAAAGTAGATAACCTTTTAAAAATTTATGATTTTAAATGATTGTAGCAGTATTGTTATAATAAAGCACTAAATCCTAAATTTAAAACTATTATTAATAAAGAATACTGCATCATTAACATGACAAATCTAAAGTGGAAAAAAAAATGAAAAGAAGGAATATTCATTATTATAAAGAAACGTGAAATACTGGAAAAATAATCAAATATCGTTTTCTTAAAATTCAGTGTTTCCATATGGACAAATTAGATCTTACTGGTAATCATATAAAATGCAAATTGCAAAATGCATATCAAAATTTCAACATTCATGGCGAAATAAGGATTATTAAAAGCTTGTTTCAAAGATTTCAATAAAAAAGTTTTTAAACATTTACGAAAACTATAATTTTTCATACTCGACAAAATTTTCAGTAAAAAAAAAAATAGCATGCACGTGGAACAATTAAAAATTTCTTACTTTTTCACATGCCTTTTTTATAACCGTATAATCAGTGCCTGTTACATAAGCATGAAGGGGTTCATTTTCACCAGGCATTGGTCCCTCACGACGTCCCAATTTGCCTTCTTTTACTGAACCTTTACCACGAATTATAATTTTGGCACCTGTCTGAAACATTAAAAAAGAACTCAACGTCTCCCACAGATTGCAAAGTATTGTACAACCAGATGGAGCAATTACTAATATGAAATAAGAATCATGATGCTAATTTAATCCAATAAAAATCATGCATTAGATTAAGTAAATAATGATTTATGATTTGCATGCGAATAGAAATAATAGAAAACCTCCGCTTCCAGAGCCTTCAGAGTATTTCCACGTGGACCAATCAGTAATCCAACAAAATTAATTTCTGGATGATTTTCCTGTGGTATCCAAACCTTGTCATGCAAACGTATTGTTGGTGCTCTAGAAGATAATGAATCAATTTGGGGATGATTTTTTTTTACTGTCAAAAGAGTTTGCTTCTTTTTTAACTTGTTGCATTACGTTATACATCATTTGATTACAATATCTATATGAATGTTGCAGTAGGTTCTCTTGTAATTATCAGCACATTGATCATTAGATCATTATTACGCCCTACTGGATAGTTTTGTTTTGTTTGGTATCGATTGTCCTTGTTTATGCACAACAGAAAAGAAAAAATTAAAACATTCATGATCATTTAAATCGTCCTTAGAATTAAAATTATAGAAATGAATATGTAAAGCATGAAAAAATCAAAGACGCACCTGTAATCCGCTGGAGGCTTGAAGTTTGGATTTAATTTCAACAATGCCTGAATTTTTTCATGTCGCAACTGTTCCAATTCTTGCCTTTTTCGTATTTCACGGGTATTCAATCGTTTACCGCTGGCATCATAAATCGGTTCCGGCGATGGACTTCTGCAAAAAAGATATGATGTAGGAAATATATGACAAAACATAAATGACAAAAGCTGAAATTTTTATTATCTTATTTGAACTGTTGAATTTCCCCAGCAGCATTTTTCCGCTCACGAAAAGCAGATGCTAAAAGGCTAAAAAAAAGATTTGATTAGGATTAAGATTAGTAGCTTTTTCTGTGATGAGATCCTGAAAACAATTCTTTAGATTCCGCATGGAGGCGACGGATAATGTATGGATCATCAACATAGCCAACAAGAATTATTCGTCTAAATATATTTTTCATTCCATTCATTTTTCCGACTAAAATTGGGCTAAGAAATTTTTTTTAAAAGTACAGGCTCGAAAAACTAAAATTTTCCACGCTAAGCTTACACTAAAACGGCGGAGAAACTATGAAGTGGAAATGAAACCACTAATTAACAATCAGAAGTTTCATAACAATTCGTGATGTTTCGAGTAAGGAGTGGTACTGATAATTAAGAAGCGTGCTGCGCTTAATGAACCGAAACACTTAAATAGTTCTACCAAACTCACCCCACGAGAACGAAATACGAAAGAACTTAAAATTCATTAAATTGAAAAATTTCGAATAAAACTTGTGGTATGCATCATCTTGGTGAGTGAGCTGACAGATACAGGAATGAAGGAAGGCGTCCATCAACATCATAGATTTCAGCTAGGCTAGAAATGGTTTGTTAAATTGTTGATTGTCAACAAAGCAGCAATAAACGTTATCGTTTATTGATTGATGAACCTTAAAGCTGGATCCGGATTGCCCATGAAATCGCCAAGACGTAATTTTCGCGTTGCATCTTCCACTTCCAACTGAACTGAAATAGGTGGTTACGGGGCCACCCTCCCCCGTTTATTAGTTCACAACAAACATTAACAGTTGCAACAACCGATCTGGCTCAAAATTTGAAGTGAAATTGAAAAAGTAGTGTGAAAACGAAAAAAAAAAAACAAAAAAAAAGAGCAACGACGTAGTAATTATGCTTATGATATACATGTGGTCATCTTTAATGGAGATCTATTATTATGTTCTCCCAGCTAATCTACACTTTCTACAACATGATTCCAGTGCCCTGGAATGTGCATTAATGTATCCCTAGTAATGAAATAAGGCTTACACATATCGATAACATTATACTCTATCAGATCCATTAGTAGCAATAAAATTTATGAGAAATTAAAACAATAAAAAACAAAAATATTACGAACCTGATTAATCGACACAATTCCTTGCATAATGAAATGTTTTAAGGACTTTTTAAAACCAATTTTAATACATAATGCAAAAAACATTAACAAGAAATATAAGTTCTTACGCAAATAAGCTTGTCGCTGATCATCGCTAAGATTTGACGGTAATATCGTTGGCATGCCCGGTACAAAAGACTTGTTGGTACTCCAACGTGATTTACGAGGCTTCTTTTCCGGTTGGCCAATTTCACTTGCAGCACCTGCTCCCTCATCTTCAGTTTTCAACTTATCAACTGCAAACATTTCGAATGTATAACATGATTTTTGCTAAAGAAACTATTTGATGCTAACTTACCAACTTCAGGGCGTGCCAGTATTGGGAGTACTCCCTGTGCAGTCTTCAATTTTGCAGAGCCAACAGTGGTAGTCTGCAAAAACCATACTTCTGAACTATGCAAAACGCAGAACGCATTTCATCATCTTGTAAATAACATCATGAAGCGTGACGAGATGTATTAAAAGATCTACTCATAAAATATTGAAAAATAACACAATAAATTATCTAACATCGCAATTAACATGTACGAAAATGGGAATGTCATCAAAATTTATTTGCCAGTTAATTCTATAAAGCAAAAAATTGGCATACAGTTGCTATGAATAACTTCTAAATGTATGGATATAGATGGAAGCTCACATTAACTTGATTTTCTTGACTTTCACTTTGTTCTTCAGGCCCTTTTGGTGGAGAACCAGTACGATCTGAAACTGAATTCTGATCTAAATCACTAACATAATTTTATCATACAATGCTTAATAAGAGGTTATTTAGTCTACCTCTACGCTTTTTATGCTTGCTTCTACTCCGACTTTGCCTACTGTGACTACCACTTCTCCTGCTTCGACTACGACTTCGTCGACGACTACGACTTTGACTTTTCCTGCTACGACTATGGCTGCGTCTGCTGTGGCTACGCTTTCGTGAATGACGGCGATCGCGAGAACGCGAACGACGTTTGCTATGGTTCCGTGAACGTGATCGCTTATGCTTATGTCGAGAACGAGATCGAGAACGGGAAGAACGCTGCTTTGGCGACAAATACTCCGAAACCGGTGGAGCATAAGATTCTAAAAATAATATATTATGCATAAATAAGAACTTCTAGATAGAGGATTTACTGCTTGACATAAAACACAATTTTCTATAAAAATATGAGTGTGAGTGTACATACAAACAGAACATTCTAATTACAACATAGTAAAAAAAATAAAAATAATGCGAGCGGTAAAGAATCGTGAAAAATATTCTCAGCAAATATTCCCACAAGTGGCACAGCCATCGAGAAATATCTATTCATTTTAAAATCAAAACCTCTTTCAACCAAAATTAACCTGGAACATTTCCATTGCTACCCTCTTCTGCATTATCCATTGTTTCAACAGTCGGTTCACCAGCAGCAGCAGCAGCAACAGCTGCCGCGCCAAATTTCCGCACAAATGGCATCGGTTCCGTGTTACCACCAGTTTTGTCACGCGACCGCGACATATTCCTTCACTTAACAAAAGTAGTAAAACTAAAACGATAACTATAACCATATATTGCATGTATTATAGAAACATTACAACTATTAATTCTAATACCATTACTCAAAAACGGATACTAATCTCAAGGAAGGAAGAGAGGAGCACCATATTCTCATACACATTTTAATCTAACCACAAGATTTCAGAGAAAGTTACTGATATAAAAGCTCCACATAGTTCTATAATCATCATATTTATAAACAAGTATTACCAATTAATGGTGGCAGACCTTATAAAAGAAAACAAGCATCTTTTTTCCATCTATTTATTTTGCCTTAAATTCTACGGCTATGAAGCAGAAATAACAAACTGTTTGTAATTTTTATACATGAATAAGACAACGAAAAAAAATGTTTTAAGACAATCGATATCACAAATCTTCCACAGTTCCTGTGTTGCTTTTCGTTTCCTGTTTCAACTCACCACATTCCACAATTGTCACCTAAATACTATAGCGTACATACGCACTTCTACAGTTTTCGACATGAAAAAAGCCTTCCAGTCTACCATAACATACTAAATTGCAAAGTCCACAAAAAGTATCTTAAATGACTCATTATTTGGTGAATGGAAGTCGAAGTCACCGAAAGACATCCAAAGTCTAAGTACAAACTAAACAATAATTCCGAGCACTTTTTAAATTCCGAACACACACTAATGTAGGTGACTTTATAAAAAAAAAAAAAACATTTAAACGTTCTATTAAATATTTATTTCCAAATAAATAAAATATTAAACGTTGCAAAAAAAAAAAAAAAAAAAACTTTCTTCTAAAGGAAACAACTATGAATAAGGCGAAAAAAATGTAACGATGACCTATTATCACATTTTAAAATTATTGGCAAGAATGAATATACCTGCATCATAGGTTTTCCACTTTTACTTCCCTGCTGTTCGATCTGCCTGACAATGTTCATCCCTTCAATAACATGTCCAAAAACAACATGTTTATTATCTAGCCAATCCGTTTTTTCGGTGCAGATAAAAAACTGCGAACTATTCGTATCAGGTCCACAGTTTGCCATTGAAACAATTCCGGCCATAGTGTGCTTTAGCTGAAAATTTCGACAATCAAATCAATAGTATGTCACACGTTAAAATACAAAGAAATCAATGGAGGTTGCTTTACGTCAAATCAAAATTTTAAATCCCGAACCTTGAAATTTTCATCCGCAAATTTAGAACCATATATTGATTTTCCGCCTGTCCCATCTCCCTTCGTGAAATCCCCGGCTTGTATCATGAAACGTGGAATTATCCTATGAAAGTGTGAACCTAAAAAAAATACATAGTCTGATGTAAAGAAGATTATGAGTTGGAATATCAAACAGTGCAACAAATTTTAAAGCAATGGCAAGTTATTTCCTTATCGAGCGGTCGAAATCAAAATTGTAATGAACTGTAGAAAATACAAAGCAAAGCTCAGTAGAAAGGTAAAAATACCTTCGTAACCAAAACCCTTTTCTCCGGTACAGAGCTGCCGAAAATTTTCCGCTGTTTTTGGAACTACATCAGGCCGTAATTCGATCACTATTCTTCCTATATACCTATAGAAATTTGCGCAAAATTATAAACAATATGTAGAAAGTATCATAAATATTCAGGTATGATGTCTAGGGAAAGCCAACCAAGGGACGTTTCCAAATAACGTAACCTGCAGGGCGGTGAGGGAGGGAGGGGAAAGAAGGCAGGATGTACAAAACTCATTCGCTGCATGTATGATCAAACACAAAAATCTAATATTTAACGGTAATATTCTAAAGAATTTCCAATGTTCAATGACAATAACTGCAGAGCCTTTTGAAACTAACCTGATTCCAATTTTGATTCCCAAATATACTCGTGGAAGAAGCAGTTTAACTGTTCCTACCACTTGCTCAGGGACCGCATTGCTCTCCTTATCACATTCCTTCGATGTACCCTCTCCAGTTCCATACTAAAATTCCTTCTTTTATATAAGTGTTACAAATTTCAAATTTTTATAGCTAGCAACATACCTTTACTGATGAAAACGGAAACTAAGATAATTAATCGATAAAGAGGCAAGTTATTATTGCAGCGTGAAAATCCATGCACAGAATGCGACAAATCTGGGAAGCGCTTTCTGTATCCTGCGGTGTTATTGATTTGTCTTTCGCTTGATATGCATTTTAGAATAAGAATGATTTTGTACAAAAAGTGCACGAACCTAATTTTGTTTAAAATTATTTTTTTTCTAAAATGCATATCAAATGAACAAGTCAATACAAAATTAAGGAATAAGAGCCCAATGCGTGTAAAAAACTTGCAATTTAAAATTTTAAATCATAAATCCATAAATGTTTAAGAAAGTTCAGCACTCAGTTAAGAGTATAAGATTATCTCGATGTACAAGACAAAAATTGAAGCAATTTTCCGCCCTGAGGTATTCCATAAATACAAAACTATTCGCAAATACTATCAGACCTTTCTCAATACCAGTATATTTCGAACTTACAGTTTTAAGCCATTCATCATCCGCCCATACCGGCCTTTGGCTTCTTTCATTTGCCTTTGGCGGTCGAGCAAAATTGCATCGGATTGTTCGCCCGAATAATTCCGAATCATTCATATTATCTATTGCTGCAGCAGCATCTTCCGCAAGTTCGTATTCCACAAATCTAAAGAAGGTAATCTACAGATTCCAAAATATATATATCGTAAAAACAATATTAGCCAATCATCAAAGATACTCTAGAAAGTTTCATTCCATTGTAGCAAGCCGGTTACACACTGAATTAAACAGGGTTTATTGACATTTAAAGCAGTAGTTAAAAGAGAATGTACATTGGTTTTTAAGATCAGTGTTGGTCATCTCAGTTCTTCCTAAAATGTTTGCTGCTGCAATGTAAACCATCTAAAACGATACTTCAATCAGAAAAAAAAACAAACAAACAAACCCGAATCCACGATGCTTGCCCGTTTCATAATCCAAAGGAATTGATATACTAACAATTTCACCGAAAGGTATGAAGCCAGCTTGCAATATTTTCTCATTAACCTCTTCGCCAAAACCACCAACATACAGCGTTCGTTTTTTATTATGTGGAAAGTTGGTCGCCAAAGACATCGCTCTTAATCTAAAGTAATTCCAAAACATGCGACTTTGCGAAGTAAATAATAGTGCACGATAATTTGGAAATGCATGTAAGTATGCGTATGATGAAAGCTGTCGACTTCTAATTAATAAAATATGACACAACTCAAAATCACGTGGACAGTTCTATATTTCCAAAAATTGTAATACACTTTTCTGCATACTGTAAAACTCATTTATTCGTAAGAATCGAGAACATTTAAAAATCGTTACAGCTACAACAAATGTTGCGACAAAAGCTAGCCTATTCAGAGACAAAGTAAAAAGAACTCACGTTATTCTAAATCCAAAAAACGTGTAAAATGTGTGTCACAGAAACCTTTTTCATTTGCCCCCTTCCTTCCTCCACCAACCACCAACGTATTCTACAAATTCAAGCGAAATGTGAATGTCAAAAGAAAACTGCAGTAAGTGACCCCATATACTAACCCCAAACTGCAACCATGCAACAAAGAGCACAGCATACCACCACCTCACATCCATTATACGCAAAAAAATAATCAAGGGAACCGAACGATGTTCGTTCGAGCGAAGTTTCAACACGATAGTAAAAGTCGTCTGTTCGGCATATACGATGTTTCTTGTTCGGTTCTACTGAGCTTCAGGAGTCGGTGATGTTTGATTTTAGGGTGTTTGTGTTTATTAGTTGTTGAAGTAGGATTGTTGATTGTGACGAGGCTGGAAGTGGTTGTTGATTTCTTTAGAAAGAAAGTTCATCTACATTAAGATGAAATTTGATTTTGATTACCTGTCAAACTTCAAGCGTGGAAGACGAATGTTTGTTCTTTAAGTAATGAGGCAAAGGAATCTGCTTTGAAGTAAACTGTCATATAAAGGGGTTATTCGAGGTGGGAATTGAACGTCAAAGTGTTAATTCGTAGAGAAATGAAAAAGGCAAGAGGAGCGATGTTCATGTTGCATTTCTACTTATTGCTAATGGCAAGATAAATGAATAAATGAATGGAAATACTGCATATCCTCATACCTTAATTTATTAAAAATCTATTTCCTCTTTAAAATTGTGAAAGAAAATACCTCTGCTTTTAAAGGAATCCACTGTTTATTAATTCTTTACCGTTTACGAGTCGGAATTCTTCTCGAAACGCATGTAACTATCATCTTTTGTAATGTTTGGTTTCTGTGAAACTCATTTGTGCACTTCATGCTTTTCATGTTGATGTTTGAGTCGCTTTGAAGTTTTTTATATTTCCTTTGTTTGATAAGGGATTCATAAGAGATTTTCGATCATTCAATGTCCGTCCCAGTCATGGATGATTATTGTACGTGTACTGATCAGAAGGAGAATGTCTGGAACTAGTTGTTTTACTTGAATGCATATTAATTAATCAATTGAATGGCGACTCCATTTTGATTCGTGAAATTTGCTCTTGTTAACATTTGCACTTCTACGTTTTCCTGTGTCCGAAGATTATAGCTCTTTTTCTATCCTGTATTTACTACTGGTTCTGGTTTATGTTTAGCATATGATGGTGAATCTTTGATATAATTCGGCATATAGGGATACAGATTTTTTAATTCACTTATTAATTTGCAAATAGCGTATGTAATATTCGCAAAATCTACTCATATCTGGATTTGATGCAGAATTGTATGAATTGCGTTGCATCTTTTGTGTGAAGTTTAGATCTGTAGCATTGTCTACTATTTATATGTCTATTAAAATTGTGACTTTGTACGTATAAATCATGTGAACGATATTTCAAGCACTTTCCGAGAGTTCATATCATTCAAAAAAACGAAGCGAGATGAGTATCTATACATAAAATCATTAATTATAATTTCATATTTTATTATACGATATTCAAATTTTTTGGGTAATGTTACAATGGATAAAGCACAAGGATATCGTGGATTTAAACGGAGTTACGAAAATATCACCTGTATCTTTGCTTCACAAAAAGAAAAAAAAAATACGTCTTGAAACCACTTGAAAGAAGCAATGGGACCATAACTATATACAGCAAAAATATATTGAAAAGAGAAAATGAAGCATTAAAGCGAACAGGAAGTGTAAATTACAAGTATACGATTAATAAACCAGATTAGGACACCGGGGACATATTGCTGTTGAGTGAAGCAGTTCTTAAAAATACCTGGTGACCGGGTAAAAGGAAGCTATACAATCGTTCTGTAGTGCTTTTGATGTTGCTGCATATCTATGTCTCCTAAACATTGTTCAGACTTTCAATAAATTCTCAACTCTTTATTGGATTGAATGAAGTTAGGTAAAAAGTGTGGATTGGAAGCAGCTTCAATTAACTTATATAGGACGCAATCCACTATGACATTTGGGAAGGGGCATATGGCCCTGCTAGTACTGCACCTTGAATGGTTACTTTTGCACCTTTTAATTTCTAAAAGCACGCTTCAGTTTTCCGAATTCATAGTTTGAAATGCAGTGTGATGAAGTCCATATCTACAAGCAACCTCTCTAATAAATTAGGCAAATCTAATCTGTGCAACTGGAGAGCAGGTAACAAAAAGGCTATTTTCTAAATATATGCATAGACGATTGCAATGGAATACGAGAAAGATTACAAACCAAATATGCTACGGTACTAAGCAAATGGATAAAGCTTAACGATGACAATTCGATAGAAAATTTCCTCATTTAAACAAAAAGGAAGCTAGCAAAAATTTGTCTCACAAAAATTACGTTTTTGTTTGTACTGTAAGGTATTGTTAGTTTCCAGTAACTTATCCCTAAATAGATACAAATGAAAAAGCTTCGGGAGTGCTTTTTATGAATCATTCTTAAGATTCTTAAGTCCTCACCTACACTCTTTTTCCAGAAAATCAGAAGAAAAAAGAAAAAAGCAAAAGGTCATTTTCGACACTCCTTGTTGATTCTATTCACTTCATTCTCATATTTTCCTCCTTTCCTAACGCTTTCCCAATCTTTTTAAAATTTGGATAAATGAACCCATTCTCCATACACTTTCATCAATAAGTCCAATTTCTACGGCTGCTAAAAGATGACTCAAGAAAAACTAGAAAATCGGATCAAACACAGTGAGCAACTCCTGTAACACACGGTGCACAACCACTGTCTTTCCCAAGAGCCATTGACGGTGGTCGTAAAAGAGTATCAACGCGACAGTCTGCCCACGCAACGCCTGCGCCTGCTCTGAAAAAAGTTATAAGAGATTAACGCTCCTTCATGTTTTACTCTGAATTATGCATTTATGTCAATATTTTGAATGTTATATGGATATTTTTTTCTGGATTTTCAGTCTGAATATTCATAAAACATTCATAAAACAAAAAGGAGATATCTCACAAACCAAAATACAGTTAACCTGCATTGGCTGATAGTAGCCACCGAAGACCACTGATTAGTAGCCGGGTCGTATGCTTCCACAGAGTTTAAATACCTCACTCCATCATGACCCCCAATTGCATAAATTCGCCCACCCATGGATGCAACACCAACACCACCTTAAAAAACTTCAAAAATGGCAATTCAAAACCGGTTTATTGAAATGAAAAGCTAAAGTCATACCTCTCGGACATGACATTTGTGACAACAATGTCCACGCATTATCTTCTGGATTGTAACGTTCACATGACGGTAATGGAGCATTGTCATCGAAACCACCAATTGCATATAAACATCCATCAAGTACTGTGACACCAGCACCAGCTCTGTAGTGAGATTTTCAAGAAAAAATTTCTAGGAACAACCAGAGTTACCAAACTGTTGTAGAGTAAATAGTAGGCTTTTAGAAACAGATTCTGTTAGGTAATAATAAATCAAGATCGTTTAATTAAATCCCATAACTTGTCGTAAAAATTTTGCAAATATACAAACCTTCTATGTTGCATGCTCGCAACTAATTTCCACTTGTTCAGAAGTGGGTCATATCGTTCACAAGAATCGAGTGATGAAGTTCCATCATTACCACCTACCGCAAACAAATATTTACCTGCAAAAAGACAATGATTAAAAAGCAAAATATTTTATTCCCACTAGAACCGAAGAAACTACAATTTAGGTCTCAAGCAGACTTACCTACAGCAGCAACGCCAACACCGCCACGCTGCACATTCATTTGCTCCACACCTGACCATTTGTCTGACTCAATATCATATCTTTCTACAGTCTGCAAAAAACAATATATTAATTGAACTTAATAACTATAAAATTGTCAAAAAAGAAAAAGAACTAAGTGAAAATTTTGGCATTTACAGGCGAAAATATAACATGATTCAGTCATGAACGTATCTACTCAAGTTAAAACCCTAAAATTGTCGGAAAATCCCAATTATAATACGTAGAAATAAAATTATATTAAATCCATAGAAATGTAAATTGCATTGCTAGAACATATGGACAAATGTTCCAGTATAACGTAAGGAATCATTTATCTAATATTCATCTTCTATATAGCTGAGCTTATTTCAATTGTTTCTTAACAAAAAATGTGTTGGAATTTGTTCCCAATTAGATTGTTTACAATTATATCAGCTTTTTTATTCACTTCTTTTGTTATTTGTCTCACTAACTATAAATTATATTCGAATTTGATAAGGTTATCAGCTCACTGGATCTGATTGTTGGTGACTTAACAGCATTTTGTTCCTGTATTGTAAATCATGAATGTTGCTATGAGTTAAACGATTACTATATAAGCAATTATACCTTTTGTCAAGGTCAAGTTTTTTGAATAGAAATCTGACATTCATTGCTCTCTTACATCTACTTCCATAAGCTTTCTAATATTATTTAATAACTACGACCAACGGTAATCTTTATCTCAATAAAATAAAGATTTATTAAATATTTTCTTTACAAAGCATTAACTATTCAGCTCTAGAATTTACTCGAACCAGATCCTATTTTACAACAAAATTTACATGCTTGGTCATTAAATACAAAAGAGTTCAAAAATTATAGCGGACTGAGAAATAAAACAGCTAAATGACAAAAATGAGAGCAGACCTGAAAACAT